TTACGCATCACTTTAGTGATTTCCTTTTGCAATGTGGTGGAATTTGAATTCTGTGTAATATTTGTGTGTTCAGTTCTCTCAATTTCTATCGAAGTAAAGTTCAGCGTTAGTAATTTTGACGGGTACAAACATTGGGGTGTGCAGTATATTTATGCATATTATGGGATTGCCTGGGGGCAAAGAAAGCTCATGTGATGGAACGTAATACAAATGCATCTGAGCGTGGAGAATCTGAGGGTGTCCCTTTGGGGTGATCTGGATTAAGATCAGTAATAACAAAATTTAAAGGTATTTAGAAGTGTTGAAATCAGGTGTTCGTTGACGAATGTCGCAAACCGCCATGTTTTCAAACCCCAGTGGCAGGTGTATTTTGCAGGTTGCAGGTTGTAGGTTGCAGTTTATCAACTTTTTATCAGATCAACTACTCTAACTAATTCTGAAACAAGTATTGGGTTGGCCACTCTTCTGATACAGAAATCTACATTTTTTGGTTAAATAAAAATACAGTGTAGATAACATGAAATAATTATTCATTTTCTATAAATACCAATTGTGAAAAATGCGCTAATGACTCTTGAGAGCCTTATTTTGTGAAATCAAGTTTGCCACTTCATACAAAAATGAATCATCCTTAACTTGGGGGCTTTATTTTGTAAAATTAAAATGGGTAACAGAACCCTCATTGTACATGTATATCTGTGCCTGTTGTATTGCAATATAATGTAACCGTTATTTTTGTTTATACAGTCTACACTTGTTTGTTGTTTTTGAAGCTTTCAATTACTTGCATGACACAAAATTAAAGTAAGTTTGGTAAGTCATGCAATATTTTGTCAGGCAATGTGCGGATGTAACTGGAAATGAATCGGCATCACATTCTGCCTTTTTCCGCATTCCTGTACACACTCTTCTGTCAAATGCTTCTGCATTGCATATCGTTAGTTTACAAGCATTTTGGGCAATAATTTAGCAAACTAGCTGAGAGTACAGAAGATTGATCAGTTCATTATCAGAGATGTAAATTGCCGTGTAATCACATGCTCCCAGCATAATCCAGTGAATGTTCGGAAGTGAAACTCAATCGAACCCAATTGAACTCAATCTGTGGATTGAGTTCCATTGAGTACTTTGGCATTTGAATCAAATAGAACACCGACCTTTATGTGAGTTCGATTTCCGAACCAATCGAACTCAATTTTTGCATTTGATTGTGTCCAATCGAACGCAGTCCAATGGACTGCGTTTGATTGTGTTTGGTGAGTAAATTCACTTCAACAAAGATTATGTTTTTTTGGTCTCGAAAACACGAAAAACACAAGTTATACCAAATTAACTCGGGCCTTGAAAA